GGCTGGCCAGGAGAGATCAGGAGGAGAAGTCGGGGGGAGGGGAGTGAATTGGCCGGCGGGAAGCAGGACTGACCCAGTAACACACAGACCAGGCACACGAGTGAGTCCGGCCCCGGATATTCCCTTTTGCCACCCCCACCCCCCATAGCCTCCCTCGAGTAGTTGTGAACTGCCTGGCTGGTAGACACACTCACGCAGCATGAGCACATCTATCAGTCACGCAGTTTGCAGCTACGGACTGATACACCTAATAATAATAAAACTTACCTAATTAGAAAATACCGGACATTTTATATGTCCGGTATTTTCTCAATTTGTTTCCTGGACAGAACCCTCAAATACCAGCCTGTCTGGTACAAAACTGGCAGCTCTATCCCTCCTCGCACCCTCCCTCCTAGCCAGATACCTCACCCCCAATCTGCTCTTGCTTCCGCCTCCTGGAGTGCCCATGCGGTGCTGGGTCCCACCAGCCCTGGCTCAGGCTGGGAGGATGCAGTCGGGTGAAACACTGAACATTTATTCATTTTTAATTCATTTTTTATATGCGTTTATATGTTTGGGCTGCAAAAAACAGTACTGAAAAAGAAAACATAGGTTCCACCTAAAGTAAAAAGTTTGGGAACCCCTGAGTAAACCAATTCAACAGGCCTGTTTTGAAAGGGCTTTGCCCACAGCAGACCTTACCGGACTGGAGCTGCCCCAAGCCTGTGACAGACTGCTCCAGCCCCCACCAGTTAACTGGAACCAGTAAGCCTTACCCATTAAGGGCGAGGCTTACCAATTAACTAGTTAAACATTCACATCCCTACCCTCCATCTTCAATACAAGACACAACCTGTAGAAACTACTACTCTCAGGCAAATTGTATCAGATAACATATCATAGAAAGACTTAACATTTCGAGCCAGAAGATACCTGCCAGATGTTATTAGCTGTTCTCTACATTAGCAGTAGAGAAAGGAGCAGTTGTGTCTCTGTGGCAGGGACTTCCTCAGGGACAAAAAGACATAGGTCTCTGCCATAAAGGGGAGCTGCTGAACAGAAAGGTGGTAGCTACTTCTTTATTGATGATGCTGTTCTGCATCTGAAGGGTTTTGGCATCAGCAGTTGATGTCTCCTTTTAATAGCAGAACATGGACAAGGTACTTACAATTGGAACTATACTCACTCAAAACTCATTTTTACCCCTCATTGAGAAACTAAATGTCTAGCCCCAATTCTAGCGGGCCATTCAGTCATAACCACAGCCACTATTTCTCTGCTAATCTCTCTCATTATTCAGTGATTTCAATATGATCAGGACTTCACCCACTTGCAACTGCTGTACTTCTTTGATTGAAGATATAGGCGCACAATTGTTCGAGTCAGTCTGTAATTTAGAAGCATTCCCAGGTTCTCTGCTGAAAGTAACACACATGAGCAATGCTTTCTCTTATCTCTGGTTGTCAAGATCCTCCGTCCTGGAGAACAATAACCTTGCTTATCTTATAAATGTCAGCTACCCCTACAGCAGTGCAACATGCCTGGGCATGAAAACATTTTGGAAATTCCAACTAAAACAGAACTCAGTACCTCTCCTCAGCAACGCAGGCCACCACGGCTACATCAAACCTGTCCTCTGCTCTCTACAGTGTGCTACCATAATTTCAAGTCATGTTCAAGTTTTTGTTCCTCGTCTTCAAAGCACGCAACCTGAGGCCAGGGCACCTAAGAACAAAACCAAAAGTCATCTGAAGTGCCAGCATAAGAACTGACACTGGCAACATCACTTCACTCTTCAGGTACCATGAACTTTTTACTGAAAGGGTAATGCTCACCTGTGCAGTAAGGGGACCTCTCTCAGACTGTGAAACAAACTCCCATCAGAATTAAGGACCATGACAAAACTCATCACCCCTTCTAAGTATAAAGTCCATTTTTTCAACCTTGCCTTCTGCAGTATAAACACAAAGCAGCATGTTCTTATTAAAAAGCTATACCAAAACATAACACTGCAATGCGCACACAGCTTCCTTCTTGGGGAGAGGATGAGAGAATGAACTACATGTAATAAATGCTAATCATGTCATTTAATGCACTATTAGAATGTATTCAAATTAGGGATGTTAAATTTCGATTAATCAGTTAATCAAGTAGTCAATGGCGTTTCCATTGACTTCTTGATTAGTTAATAAGGGATGGGGCAGCACTCACTATCTCCACTGCACTTCTGCCTTTTAAATGTCCTCAAGGTGAAGGTGCAGCAGTTGGGACCACGGGCAAGCAGGGGATGCTTGAGTCCCTGCTCGCCCTGGGTTCCCTTGGGGCTCTTACTACATTTAAAAGGCAGAGGCGCAGCAGTCAGGACACGATTCCCATGCTATGCCTCTGCCTCCCCGGCCGAGAAGGTGCTGGGGGAAACAAGCTCTTAAGCCAGCAATAGCTAAATTACCCTCATTGCAGTATTTGAATTAGGGATGTAAGTGACTAATCGACTACCCGATAAGCCTAGGCTTATCGGGTAGTCGATTAGTCACTTACATCCCTAATTCAAATACTGCAATGAGGGTAATTTAGCTATTTAAAAGATAAAATAAATACCAACAGTCATTTTTCTTTTTCTCATCTAAAATAAAGAATCCACCAGGAAAAGGACATCTCAGTACTACTATTAAAAACTCCAGTGGAAGTAGCATTAAGGCTAAGAAAATAAGTGCACAAATTCTGGTAATGCTAAAAGTGACTTTTTTTTAATAACATTAACTTAACTACATGGCATGTGCAGGATTTTTCAGAGATTGGAGAGTCATATAGTCTTCAATTCCCTCAATAACAACAACAAACTGGTGGTAAAATACATGAAAGGATCCACTTTCATGCTTTCTTCCACATGGGCATTATTTCCTAGCATCCCTTAAAGACCTCCAAAACACTAAATTAATTTCCATCTCTATAGTTATGGTATTCAGATTTACTTACAGGCAGTCCCCGGGTTACATGGATCCAACTTACATCGGATCCCTACTTACAAACGGGGTGAGGCAACCCCGCACTAGCTGCTTCCCCCCAGCAGACCAGGGAGACGCAAAGCTAGTGCCCCCCCCAGCAGACCAGGGAGACGCGGAGTGGCTTTTCTCAGCAGACACCTCCGCTTGAGAATAAAGGACTGAGGGAAGTGAGGTGTGGGAGAATAAAACTGAGCTCTGGAGAAATGTTTGGCTAGAGTTTCCCCTACAATATGTACCAGTTCCGACTTACATACAAATTCAACTTAAGAACAAACCTACAGTCCCTATCTTGTACATAACCCGGGGACTGCCTGTATTTCCTTTCTGGTGGAGAGCAGTTTGGCTGGGCAGGTCTGAAGTTAATTGGAGATCCTGTCTCTCCCACATTTCTTCATGGATACCTCAACAATTTAAATGTATCTTTCCTCTTACATCTTCTCTACATCTCTCATTCTCTATCATAGCTGACAACACCATTGTCTGCATTACACAATCAGGAAGTCATGTTGGTTCCTCCTTCCTTTCCGACCAATTCTCTGTCCCATCAGCTAACACACTTTTACAAGCCCTGATTATTTTCCAATTTGATTACTGCAGCCTCCTTCTCTTTGGCCTCCTTAATACCCATATAAGTGCTCCCTCCAGTGTATACAAGTCATGGCAGAGAGATTAAAAAAACTATTAATGATGTTATTGAATTTTATATGTGTATCTAAGTATGCAATCACTCCAAGGAAGAGAGGGATGAAGTTACCCCCAAGAAAAAAAGGAATCAACTGATGAAAAATATAAACAAAGGGAAGAGTAATGGAAAAGTGGACTGGTATTCAGGATATTTGAATAAGGAAGGGCATATGAATTCAGATGCCACATAGAGCTTTACTCTTGTAAGTGGTTAATTGAGCACATCAGGGAATAAAGATTCCACTTCAATTCATCTGATAAGTGTTTTTTGCCTAGGAAAGTTCGTGATTCTATATATTTTGGTCAAGTGCCAGAGGCCTACTTGTTTTTAAAGTTACAGACTAACATGTTTTCCCTCTGAGATCTTTTCAGATTGTTGGAGTCTTTTCTATGCCATATTTCCAAGGCTACCAAGTCAATGCTGAGCCCATCCAGGGCGTGCGGGAGGCACCTGAAATACCAGTCCGCTCCCTGGATCTCTCCTGCCTTCTTTCACCCAGCTCGTCATCACTGATATGTACCTAGAACTAAGCCCTTGGACAAGACCAGACAGGTCCGCACACCTCTTTCTTCTTCTGCCTCTCCTGCGAGCAATGACAGGCCCCCCTGTCGGCCGCCTCCTACCCCAGGCTACCCCGGCCTGCGCGGCGCACTGCCGCCATCCCACCCCCGTCTGAACCACCACTCCAGTCCCAAACTGGGGCCCCCACCCCCAGGCCGCCGCTCCGCTCAGATCCCGCCCAGAAACCTGCTCCTGCTAAGTCGCCCAAGGCAACGGAGTGCAGGGAAACTGGGGCGGCCCCTCGCCCGCCCGCCCCCCGCGCGCCGCACCAACCCGCGCCCCTCGCCGCCACCTGCCCGGCCACCCCACGGTGCGTCCCTTTTGGCAGGAAGGCTCCGCTAAGCGCGGCCCATCCCGGAGCCCCCGGCGCCGCCCCCCACCGAGGGGGCCCAGCAGCCCGGGCGAGGTTCGCGGCTGCAGCCCGAGCGCCGCCGCGGTGGGGAAGGGGCAGGAGGCGGGAAGGGAAACGCCGCGCGGACTCGGCCTGGGAAACGCGGCTGCCCCGTCAGGGCTCCCACCTGCGGCTCTTCCCTTCATGCCGCCGGCCCAGGGCGGAACCACCCACCCACCGCCAGCCTCCTGCGGACCCGCATAGCGGCCGCACCTTCCTTTTCCGCATAGCGACGCGTCCGGCGCCTCCCGACAGTTCACCGGAAACTCCTGGGGAAACTGACAGATGCGGCATTCCGCTTCCGGTCCGTGCCCTTGTTTGTCCGTGTCCCTGCTTCGCTCTCCGGGACAGGATGTTGGCAGCAGCGCTGGGGCTGGCCCGGGCGGGCCTTAGAGGTGAGGCCGGGGGTCATGGGAAAGAACGGATCGGCCTGGCCTGGCCTGGCGGGGAGGGAGCAGGGGCCCTCGTGACCCCGGCCCCACGTGAGTCGGGGGAGCCCCTCTAAATTAGCGGCCTATGCAGCCCCTCTGGCCCGGAGTGTGTCGATGGCAGAGGACCTCGGCCTGCCCATTTCTCATCGGCCTAGTTGGGTCAGCTGGTGCCGCCCGTTGGGGAAAAGATTTTACGTCTACGCGTCTTGTACAGCTAACTGGCAAATGCCTTCTGTGTGTCACTCGCACCTGGTGTCTGTGGGCCTCGCTTCTCTTGGTGACTCCTCATTGGTTGGTAAAAATCTACCTAGTGTCTCTTGTGCAGTAAGATACCTGCCGAGTTAGTGCTTCCGGGAGGAGGCTTGAATAGTGTAGCGATGGTTGTGGTATAAACTTCACGACAGAAAGAAAGGCTCTCCGAGGTCCGTGTTGTATTTGCTGTTTCCTCTCTGCTAGGCAGAGAAGCACCGTATTTGCATTTGCTCTAGTATATCGAGCCCTGTTAGTTTCTAAGTACAATAGTTGGGCACATGGTATTGCTGTATATAAAAACCGAGTGATACATCCTCCACTCCTAAAGAGTGAGTCTCCAGAATTTTGGTTTAGGACAGGAGCATTTATTGAATTGAGTGGAAAAGGTAACCCTAGCCTTTGTTTTTTTGCATAGTACTTAACAGAAGGAATACACCTCCTTGGTAGAATTTGTGTGAGTAACATTTGTTTGCTGGACTACACATTCAGATTGATTTTAAAGTATTTTCACTACACTATAAAATCATTGTTTGGTGGGGGGAGGTCAGACTTGATTCCCATATGTTAAAATGGAGTTCCTCTCACCTGAGTTCAGCAACATGGAAATCTGTTCTCTAGACAGGAGGGAAAAGAAGGCATTCTCCCTATAGGAGGATGAAGTATGTGGTACAGACAGTTTCATGTATGCTTCTTCTCTTTGTAGCTGCTGCACGCCCTGCAGCACTGTTGCAAGCTCGTTTTGAGGGGAGCGCCACAACAGAAACCCATCGTAAGTCTGTCAGAATTTATTATTATTTCATACCTGCTGGAATCTGTATAGTGGGCCTTAGAAAACTCAGCAAGGTGACCACATTTTCTTTTATCTATGTACTTTATTTTTTCTAAGTGTGCTGGTGCTGCTACTGCCAGTTTCTGACTCAACCATAACAAATGCCTGAATCTCAAAAAGGAAGACGATTTTTGACTTCAGTAACTTTGTGCTCTGAATGGGTTTGTCATAAAATACAGAATAAATGTTAACAAGCATTTTGAGCAAAACAGCAGCTTTGGTGACCTATACTCAAAGTTCTCTCTTTTGTGTAATGAACAACATTTGAAGTGAATATTCTTTCCATTAGGCTGTTTTTGGTGATCACATCAGATCTAATTCTGTGTTTAATAAATCCTGACCTACAAAAACAAATGTTTTGGCTGACAAATTTAAAATAAAAAACACTTCCTGTGTTACGAAAAAGGTTGCTGAGATGTCAGAATAGTATATGAAAAATGAGGACTTTCCTGGAGGAAGTAAGACATTATGTGCTGGAGAACCTGCTTTCCTCTTATCAGAAATTAGTCTGTTAAATCCCTTAGGAAATGTTTACAGATGTTCTTTCTCAACTTCTCTCCTACTTCATTCCTTTTACTGAATTATAACATCCCGTCCCTTCTACACCACCTTTGATTCCAATCAGTGTTATGCAAGTAGTTTAATATTCATGGTGACAGGGTATTCTGTTGTCTGACACTTGATAGCTGGGCATTGGAATAGACTTGCCCACTTACCAAATTCTATTTCCTAAATATGCTAGGCATATTATACATTGCTACAGATTAGACTCTATCCATGTTCCTCCTGAAATTGGTCTCTATGACCAACTTAGCTAGAGTCTTGCTTAGCTCATGTGAGCTGGGAGTTGCTATTCCTCTTTCTATGGCTGATCACCCTGAGAAGTTTGTTGTTCTTTCCAGCCACCATTAGACGAAAGGATGAAGTGGTCCAGAAACAGCTATGTGCTTTTGGAGAGTATGTGGCTGAAATTCTGCCCAAGTATGTCCAGCAAGTCCAGGTAAGTATTACTAATCAAATCATTGTAGCTTGGGGGATGTGTAATGAGGACGAGGTTGATAGATCGCTGCATGTATCTGCATCCAATCCACAATCTACAAACATGGTCTGTGGTTATAAAGCAAATATGCACAGTTTTACAGGCCTCTACTGGTTGGGTGGGAGAGAGTGATAGAGCTGGTTAAAAACCATTTCTGATATTGAGTTCTTTGATCTG